TGTCTGTGCTCTTCACTCCTCTCTCTCAGTGATTTTCACGGAGTATACGACAGTACGGTGTACGATGCTGAGGTCTGTTCAATAGTCAGTCGGCGGATACAGGTTGTGATGGTTTTGGCGCAAATGAGCCTGTGCAAGCCGGCAACCGTAATAAGCCCTCTCCTTCCGGACTATAGAAGCGAGTCTTGACTCTCTACCGAGTCAAACGTAGTAAAGGGTTTGCGAGAGCGACAAGCTGTGTCCACAGCAGCTCTCAAAAACCGCGGGTGTTGTGGAAATAAATGGCTCAACGCAAAACAGCGCTGTTTCCATATTCGCGATTCTGGATGGGAAACGGCTGTGAAGGCCTTTTTGTCATTGCCACCGATAGTGGCTTTGATAGCACAGAAATTGTCCAAACTGAGTCCAAAACCAGATGAATTTCCTTTGCATGGCGAATGCGACATGCAAGGTTGATAGTAGTTCTCAAAATTTGGCATAGAGTAGCGGTTGATGGCTCAACGCGAAGGTGGGCCATTTCCGACTGCGCGATCATGGTTCAGAACAAGGGCTTGAGGAATTTTTGCCAAGACTGCAATTATTTGTTTGTGGTTCTAAACTAGGTCCACAAGTAGAGAGAACCACGGTCCAGTGCCATCCCAATCAAAATCAGGACGTTTTTCGGATGACCTGCCCCGAATGGTCCGATAAAAATTTCTCGGTCGCCAAACAGGGCAACCATCACACCGACCCACTCCTTCTCTGAAGGGCAGCCCAGCTATCAACGAAGGTTCCAAGGCCCGTGTACCACTGCACTATGCAGATCCCGCTCCTGCAGGGTTGTTCCTCAGCCGAACCTGCCCTGGCAGATCGCACGGCAGCGCTGTTCCAACCACTTGGAGTCGAGCCCTGCCCGTACTTTCACCAGTTCCACACCCTATCACCCCTTCCCCACTAACCGGAGAATCGTATCGCAAGTAGGTACAACAAGACGGCGAATCATCAATGGAGAGATGTTAGACTGATAAGTAATAAGCGGTGGTTGGCAAAAGCCTTGCATCAGATGGATTCGAACCTCCGCGACTCAGATAGAGATCGGCGCATTTGGCATTACACCACAACACAACATTGACAAATGAGATCTCAGTGTGACTTGTAGTAAGAATTTCTGACGAAGTTGGAGACCAGAAATTTTTGCCAGAGTGCCCTCACCATTATCCTGAAAAAAAAATATAACGACGTCTCCTCATCCCGTCAATCCTGCCTAAACCAAGGAGATACATGGATATGTCCTTCTCCACGGAGGTGGACTGCATGCCACGCACGAACCCGGCCCTACAAGGTTTTTCACCAGTATGCCGCGTTTCGATTCGGGTGTCGACCCGAATTGATAGCAGAACTAAGCAACTCATTGGTAACAGAGATACTGCCTTTCCATGAGCCCACTCCTCCGATGAATCGTATTCGGAGCTGGTACGGCGTCCTGCAGATCTCTGATGGAGAGGTGCGAGATTGACGAAAAGGCAAATATGTATGAATGGCAAAAATTTCGTAAAGGACATTTCCAACCCATGATCGCGTAAGCAGGGGGCGACACCTTTTCATACACCAGACGTTGATCATTTATTGCAAGCCTTTGGATGAGGGAAGATAGAGAAGTGTGTGAGAGAGAAGATCAGGACGAATCAGCTGCATGAATGCCATTACTCAAGCCAACAGGAAAGTTAGCCAACTATTTCCTTATGCTGCCCTTACCAATGAATCCGCACATGTCAAACCGTCGAGGAGCCTTTTTCATAAGACCCATCTCGTATAATGAATCGCATTCAGAACGGGTAATAGTATGGTGCAAATCGCTGCTGAAGATATGCCAGGCTTACAAAAGGCAAAGATGGTCAGCAAAAGTTGTGCACATGCTGATCTCGATCCCTGGTCGCATATGCGGTTGCCAACACTCCAACCACTGCGCCACGTAAGCCGCCTTAACAGCTTCGAGAGAAATTTCAAGCCTTCGACTGAAACAGCATATTTCGGCCGCCAATTTACCAGCATTTTGGAGCTCTTAACGACAGAAAAATCCATGTCCACACAAGAATTTGAACCCTTGTTTTGGGCTTGGAAGGTCTATTTCCTAACCACTAGCTCCTAATGTTTCCAGAACTTTCAACACCTGTGAATCCCACGTCTGTGCTCCACGGACTGACCAGAAACAGCGCTGCGGGCAGAGTTTCCATAAAAAGGAAACCCCAACAGTAGTATAGTGATAAGATAGAAATAAACTCGCCATAACTGCACCACAACGAAGTACATGATCAAGTCAATGACGATGAAGATGTTTTATGGACCCTGCTTACGAGAATTTAGATACTGCTATGACATTTCATGTTCGAGAAAATCGCTAAGGTTAGGGCAAACGGAATTCCCAAGATGTCCCGATTATAGAAAGCGATCCAGGTCCAGAATCGCATAAGCGGTCGCATTGCATACGGTGGTGTTTGTCTTTCCCTATCCTTGAAGGTCTGAACGCAAGAATACGAGCACTAACAGCAAATGATGCGATATTTCGCCGTCATTGAGAAGGGTACTCTTTCAAACGATCCAACACTCTTTAGTAGGAAAGTTGTTCAGTGCGCGTCCCATAGGTATTGATCAAAGTGGTATACTTCGTTTTTTGGCTTTTGACTCAACCAGACGTTACTCTAAGTAATTGAACATAATTTATTTTATAGTTTCGCATATGTAAACATATTTTTGAGCAATGATAAACAAATTCGCAGTAATACACAGAATATATGTGAAATTCTTAAAATTTAGGCACATTATTTACTGAAGAGAAAACAACTTGTAATACGGTAGCACCAGAAAAGAAAGCAGAAAAACACTCGTTGAAAAAAAGAAATAGAATTTTCAAGAAGAAAGGGGGACAAATAGTTCGGGAACGAAATGATTCCCCATAAAGGAGGATGAGTAAAGAAAAACAAATAATAAATGAGATAAAATCACCTGGGAACGCTCTGAACTGACGGAATACATAATGAGGGAGTAGTAAGGCTCAGAATTACTACTGGCCTAAATTGGGCGCTGTCCAAACGCACAGAAAGAGATTTCTACACACAAATAACAACAAAATAACAGAGTACACTTGCACAGTAATGGACAAACAACTGGGGTGCGGGATAGGCAGTTGGTTTGTAAAATGACTGNTGATCCTGATCACTGTCATAGACTACCGACACCACGAGATTCTCCATAGCTCGGCCCAAATCGTCCACCGTGGCCAACAGGGATTGCATTCGGGTTGGATGACCGCTTGCAGTATCGGCGGCTCCGCGGTCGTCATCGGCATTCCAGATGGGTCCGCTACCGACTGTTCGTTCAGAGGCTCTCGATCGAGCCGTGTCGTAGCCGTAACGATCATCGACACCGGTAGCGAATGGCGGTTGCGAACGACGTTCTGACCATTCCCGATCGCCGTTCCATTGACGAGAACCGTTCTCTTTTTGCTGCAATTTTTTATATTCAATTGCACATCGAATCAGAAGATCTTCGAGAGTTTTTCTAATAACGGATGATCTCCGGTGATAAGAAGTGATAATAATTTTTGATAGCTACAAAATTCAAGGCTCACCTGTTCAATGACCTTCTTTAGCCGTTGTAATTGCAGTTCGAGCTGTTCGTTTTGTTGCTCCAATATACGAGAACGATGCTCAAGACGTTGCTTATGCAGACGCAGCGCTCGTGCTTCATCCATCACCTAAAATCCATAGAAATCAGGGCTATTGATTTATTTCGTGTGAAATATGAAATTCTCTCTGAAGTGGATCTTATGATTAAAGTTGAAGTGTTGAAAAAAGTGTTGCATCCAAGAAAAACGAAAATCACAAAAGCAACCAGTGTGAAACAAAGATGGACGAGTTGTCGTTATTGGGCGGAGTTTCACATTAGGTTCCTTGCAGGCTGACAAGCCACGTTTTATGCACTCATCTTCAAAGGTTTTATCAGTTTTTCAATAGTTTCCAAGAGTTTGAAAATACAGTTCGATTTTGTTTAATATCTGGAACTACTGCATCTTGATGATAGACGAATGGGAACGAGGGCTACACCACCTCAGACGAGACAACTAGCGAGGAATGACTGCGTGCGCGAGTAAATTGTGGCTGCCCCATCCAACCTTGTCCTAGGACAGAGTAGTGATCAGCAGTTCCGCTTTTANGTGAAACAAAGATGGACGAGTTGTCGTTATTGGGCGGAGTTTCACATTAGGTTCCTTGCAGGCTGACAAGCCACGTTTTATGCACTCATCTCCAAAGCTTTTATCAGTTGTTCAATAGTTTCCAAGAGTTTGAAAATACAGTTCGATTTTGTTTAATATCTGGAACTACTGCATCTTGAGGATAGACGAATGGAATGAGAGCTACACCATCTCAGACGAGACAACTAGCGAGGAATGACTGCGTGCGCGAGTGCCCCATCCAACCTTGTTCCTAGGACAGAGTAGTGATCAGCAGTTCCGCTTTTATCAACACTAGTTCGGATCTTAGGCAGAATGCTCGTGAAG